TTATTGTGTCCTCTCTTTTTTTTTTCTTGATAAACCTGGCTATAAATTTACCAATTTTGTCTAACTTTTCAAAGAAACAGCTCTTGGTTTTATTTATATTTTCAACTTTGTCTCTATTTCATTTACCTCTGCTCTAATCTTCATTTTCAGTAGCATTTTTGGTTGTCCTTTCCCTTTCTAGCTCCTTTAGCAGTAAGTTTAGATTGATTACTTGAGAACCCACAGCTAACATTATACTTAATGGTGAAAAGCTGAAAACTTTTCCTCCACGTTCAGAACATGACAAGTATGTCCATTCTCAACATCTTTTTACAACATAGAATGCTTATGTATTCTAAAATGCTGAGGCATTTTAACAGTATGGATTCGTTGTAAACATAAGCATAGAATTTTTTCCCATTTCCTTGTGTCTTCTTCAATATCTTTCATCAGCATTTTGTAGTTTTTAGATTACAAATCATTCACCTCTCTGGTTAGGTTTATTCCTAGGTATCTTATGGTTGTTGGTGCAATTATAAATCGGATCAATTCTTTAGTTTCTTTTTCTGCTGCTTCATCGTTGATGAATTAGGAATTCAACATTTCTGCACATTTCTATACATTGTACTTCTGTACAAGATTTCTGTACATTGATTGTGTATCCTGTGGTTTTATTGGATTCCTGTATCATTTCTAGGAATTTTTTGATGGAGTCTTTTGGGTTGTCTATATCATTTAATCTGCAAGTAGTGAAAGACTGACTTTTTCCCTATCTATTTGGATGCTTTTTATTTCTTTAACTGTCTGATTGCTGAGGCTTGTAATTTCAGTGTCAAATAACAGTGATGAGAATGGATATCCCTGTTTTGTTCCTGACTGTAGATGAAAATCTTTCAATTTTTCTCTAGTGAGATGATGTTAACTATGGGTCTTTCATATATGGCCATTATTTTTTTATGTATGTTCCCTCAATCCCTACTTTTTGAGTTTTTGTTTGCCAGAGTGTGGCAAATTTTAACTAGGTATGCTCTGGTCTGCTTATTATATGATAGCTGATGTGACTTCCAGTAGAACTGAAGCCTTGCAGGACACTGTGGTTGGGAGACATGGTGTGGACAGAATTTCTGTCGGTCCACTGAGGAAGGAACCTGCCTTGCTGGGACTGAGGCACACTTGACAGGGAAATGGAAATATTGGCAGAGCACAGGGGTGTGAGACTTGGTGTAAGCAAGGTAGGCAGCCAGTCTCAGCGCTGTGTATTTACTAAAGGTTGTTCTGTGTTTATACTGAGTGGTGAGGGAGACAGATATCACCAACCAACTCCTTTGTTTCCAGTGAGGGGTTCTTGTGTCTGCTGCTCTCAGAGAAGCATTCACTGAAGAGTGAATAATCTCCCCTCTGTGTGTTCCCTGTGTTTTTCAGATTCCCATTTCCATGCTGTCTGTCCCTAGGTAGTTTGCCTGTCTTCTAGCAATGAGCATTGCAGGGTCCATTCCAGTAAAGGCTCCCAACTTTGAAAACAACAGACTTTAGGGACATGGTTTGGGCAGGGGCTGCACTGGTCTTCTGGAAGAGGGTCTCATCTCACTGAGACTGATGCAGGTTTTGCTGATAAGGGCAATCACAGGCTAGGAAGACAGTGTCAGGGTTGAGCTGCCTTTGACAGAAGGCTTTGTAATTATTATCAATGGTGTGGGAGGGAAGTGGAACATTCTGAAACTTTTGTCCCTGTAGAGGGGTCCCTATGAATGCCACCTGCCACTCAAGTGCTCCAAGAAGAATAACAATCCCTACCTGTGTTCCCCAAGCATTCCTCCAGCCAAGCCACCTGCCCTTGTGGTGTTTGCCTGCCTTCTCCACAGGAGTAGGACAGTACTTTTTGTTCTGTATCCCAGTTAAGCCTCCTGATGTTAAAAACTCCAGGCTTTAAGCCCTATTGGATAAAAAAAATTCTAGGAAATAAGCTCCTTTGTCATTCCCAGTCAATGGCTTTGAGGAAGTGTCCTCCTTGTGCATTTCCCTGCATAATTCTCTCTCTCTCTCTCTGTCTCTGTCTCTGTCTCTGTCTTTGTCTCTGTCTCTCTCTCTCTCTCTTGTCTTTCTCTGCAACCAGGGGTCCCTCCCTTCCACAGTGCCCAGGATCCATGTCTCCCCCAAACCATGTCTTTGCATTTCCTACTTTCCTCAATGTCGCCTTTTCTCTCCCTCTAGTTGTGAAGTTGTTCTGTCAGTCTTCAGGTCAATTTCATAGGTATTCAGAATGATTTGACAGCCATCTAGTTTTGTTTAAGTAATGAGAAAAGCCTAAAGTTCTCCTACTATGCAATCATCTTAGCTCTGAAGCAGGAAACCTTGAAAAGGAAGGAAAAGCTCATGGTATCACCCTTCTGGGTACCATAATGTACTGCAAAGCTATAATAATGAGAACAGTACTTTATTGGCACAAATGTGGATAAATAGATACATGAGCACAACAGAATAGCCCCCAAATAAGTCCTCACTTATATGGACAATTATTCAGTGACAAAAGAGGCAAGAATATACAATGGGGAAACTATCCATTCAATAAATGATGTTGAGAAAACTAAAAAGATACTTGCAAAAGAATGAAATTTGACCACTTTCACACCATAAACAAAAGTAAATTGATAACGGGTGGAAAGACATAAATGTAATATCTAAACCATAAAAGTCTTAGAAGAAAACATAAACAGTGAGTTCTTTGACAAAAGTTTGAGCAATATTTACTTGAATCTGGTTCCTCAGGCAAGGACAGCAAAAACAAAAACAAACTATTAGGACCATATCAAACAATTTTTTTTCACAGCCAATGTAACTATTAACAAAATGAAAACACAACCCACTTAATGGGAATAGATACTTTCAAATTATGTATCTAATAAGGGATTCACTATGAAAATACATAACAAACTCATACAATTCAATATGAAAAACTCAAGCAACCCAATTTAAAAATGGGCAAAGATCTGACTGGAATTTTCAAAAAAGACGTACAGATATACAATGGTTACAGGAAAATATGCTAAACATCACTAACCATTAGGAAAATGTATATCAAAGCCACAGTAATATATAATCTCACATCTATCACCATGACTAATATCAAAAGGACAGGAAACAACAAATTGTAAATATGTGGAAAGGGATAATGTGAACTGTTGGTGGGAATATAAATTGGTGCAGCCATTATTGAAAACTGTTTGAGGATATTAAAAATAAATAAAATTGAATTATCACATTATCCAGTAATTTCAGTACAAAGTAATTATCTAAAAATTAAAAACACAAGTTTAAAAAGCATTTCTAAGTTTATTACAGCATTACTTACATAGCCAAGATATGGAAGAAACATAAATGTCCAATGATTGTTGAATGGATAAATAAAACATAGTGTGTGTATATATATATATGTTTATATCTATATAATGGAATATTACTTAGCCATAAAAATGAATTAAGAAAGAATGAGATATTGCCATTTGAGACAATATGGATGTACCTAGATAGTACTATGCTAAGTGAAATAGTTCAGATGAAGAAAGCCAAATACCATATGATTTCTTTTGCATGTGGAATCTAAAAATCAAAACAGAGACACCTGGGTGGCTCAGTTGATTGAACGTCTGACTTCTGCTCAGGTCATAATCTCGTGGTTTGTGAGTCCAAGCCCTAGTTTGAGTTCTGTGCTGACATCTCAGAGCCTGGAGTCTTCTTTGGATTCTGTATCTCCCTCTCTTTCTCCTCCCCGCCCACACTTGTGCTCTCTCTCTCTCTCTCAAAAGTAAATAAACATTATTTTTTAATACAAATAAAAATTAAAACAAACTAAGGAACAGAACAAAACAAACTGTGGTTTTAGATGTAGAGAATAACTGATGGTTGTTATAGAGGATATTGGTGGGGGAATAAATGAAATGAGTAAAGGGAAATAACAGGTGCTATCTTTCAGTAACAAAATATATTTAGAAAACGGGTATAGTTTCTCAGGGTCCACATAAGAGTGAAAACATATGGTATCTGTCTTTCTCTGTATGACTTATTTCACTTAGCATGGGGGAGGGGAAGGAAAAAAAAAAGTTAGAGAAGGAGGGACCCAAAACATAAGAGATTTAAAAACTGAGAACAAACTGAGGGTTTGATGGGGGGTAGGAGGGAGAGGAGGTTGAGTGATGGGTATTGAGGAGGGTACCTGTTGGGATGACCACTGGGTGTTGTATGGAAACCAATTTGACAATAAATTTCATATTAAAAAAAAGAAGTAAAAAATAAAATAAAAATGGGTATATAATGTACAGCACAGGGAATATAGTCAATACTATTCTATTATACTTGTATGGTGGTCAATTATAACTAGACTCAATTTGCTCATGATTTCATAAAACACAAATATTCAATCACTACCTTTTGGTAGTGGAAACTAATAAAGTATATCCGGTCAATTATGCTTCAGTTAAAAAAAAAATCTTGCTGTGTGAACAAGGGTTTAAGATAATAACATTTTGCACTCTCCTAAGCATAGAGATATGATTTTGGAGATACATACTTTACTCTCATTCTCTTTGAATGACCTCCTCCAACCGTCATAAATGTAGTTAATAGTGTCAGAAAGAGATTTATTCAAACAGTTTGAAAAATTTTAAAAGCATTTGGCAATACTTGTTACAGTGTTGTCCTTTGGGGATATTTTAATGTAAGACAGCTCAGAACTACTAAATATCAAACAGGTCCACTATTCTCGAGAGAATATCATCCTGGGCAGTGTTAGAGGGTCATGGCTCAGACCTCTCTGAATCATAGTACAGGTTCTCAAAACTCTGTGAATAAGCTCTATGAGGATGAAACTTGTATTTACTTGTTATCCAGCTGCACAACACATGGCTCACAGATACAAAATATAGTTTCCAACCTCCATCTCTAATAAACCGCATCATCTTCACAGAGCAGTGAACTCTCAGAATTTTTAGTTTCACTCTAACTAATTTGTGTATTTCCTCTTAAAGGTAAACTCCGGAAAGAATATGGTAAGTCATTCATTACTTCCTTGTGTATATCATATTGATCACAGTATAAAAAGTCAGGCCTTTTTTGAAGGAAAGTTTTAAGAGAAAAACACTTGGTAAAGATATAAGTATATACATACCACTCTGGAATTTGGGATTGTGCATTTCCTTTCATTTTTTTCTTTTTTAAAAAAAAAATTAAAGGTTTTTATTATTGAGAGACAGAGAGAGGCAGAGCATGAGCAGGTGAGAGGCAGAGAGAGGAGGAGACACAGAATCTGAAGCAGGTTCCAGGCTCCATGCCGTCAGCACAAGGCCTGACACGGGGCTCGAACTCACAAACCGCGAGATCATGACCTGAGCCGAAGTTGGATGCTCAACCGACTGAGACACCCAGGCGCCCCTCATTTTTTCTTAATTAGGTTGTTCGAGTGTCCATGAGCTCTGTTAGGTCATGCTGTGTCTAATCCCTTGAAGTTTGCAAATGTTGCTTTGATTCTACAGAGAGGAGAAACTGGGTAATACTTGAGGAAAATACTAAAGGAAGGTCTGCAGTTAAATCTACCAGATATACTGAAAAGGTACAGGGTGCTACATTTCAATGCACAGCACAGCCTTGTCTACTATCCAAATCTCTACTAATGTTAGCTATTCTCACTTTTTGTTGTTTGAAGTGCATGTTTTACTTGCTAACCCACTTTCACTGGAATTGAGAAAAGGAAGCTTGTGTAAAATGTACTTGGAGAACATTTTTTTTTCTCTTCTGCATTTTCAAAATTTCCTCATGTCTTGAGGATTATTTCTTACCTATTCTGACCCACTAAAATTTAAAAAATTTTCCTCATGTACCACACACCAGTTTCCAAAGTAGAAATTGCTGTTTGTATTATCATCAGACTATGCTCCTAGATGAAGCATTAGAGGAAAATTATGTCTTTCAATGCCCAGGATTTCTTCTTGGGATGAGCAATAAAGACTAATTAGCTGTTTCAGGTTGTTTCTGGCTCTGGATATATTCTTCTCCCAAAGGCTCACTGATCTTGTCCCAGTCTCTTGTAGTTCAAACCCCATGTGTAATCTGGATGAACTTTGCTTGGGAAATATTCTAGGGTGACATCCACACAATCAGCAGATGGAACAGAATGGACTGACTTAGTTCTTGGAGAAAGGAGACCGTAGATGATGGAGTTATGAGCATATTTCATGATACTATGCAGTCTCTTAGAAATTATCTATTTGAGATAATGTACACAATGCCTTCTTTTTTATTTTTTGTTTTTTTCTTCTGTAGCTTTTAATTTTCACCTACTTGACTAATATTTTACCAAGTCAGATGTTGAAAGATTTGAGTAAAGTCTGTTTCTTTAGAAATTCTTCCATATATACTTTGTTGAATTCTTTATTATATATTTGTTTTTACACAGAGCTCTTACGTGAACAGAAAGGTGAGTAGTATTTGTTTAAATTTTAGTGGCAGACATCATAGAAAAGTATATTGGTCAACTAAAATTTAGCAATTGATTCCATATCATAAACTATTTTTTAAACGGTCTTTCTTTTAAGTGGTTTCTCTATATATGATTAGTCATAAGTTGAAACTATTTTGTATTTTGTAACATTATAAATTATAAGTTCTATAAATGATTTGCATTTTAAAAGCGTCACACTGTGGTATCTTTGTTGAAATCTTTCTCCTGTTTATTGTTTTGTTTTTTACAGTCTCAATAAGGTGTTCAGATATTCCTTTATGATTTTTCTACTATTACTTCTTAAATACAAATTAATACCTGAATTTTGATCTTCATATTGGTTTCTTCTAATATCTGAATCTATATTATTAAATAACAATTAATGCTAATTCTATTTTATACAATAGGATGCCAATCAAATATATCACCATCAATATTGGGCACTTTTAAAGACTTTGCATTTTTCTATATGATATATACAATTTTAAAAATATGATATGCATAAGCTTTGATATACCATATGCATATTTTTGTTTTGATTTTTCTTTATTCTTGGCCTTGTTTTTAGGAGAATTTTTTATGGTAATTTGGTCTCTGTACCTTTGTACTTGTTTTTCTCTATTCCTGAAATATTTTATTTCTGTAATCATTTCCTAATTAACTCTGTTTTTCCTGTGGGAACCTGGTGAACCCTCACTAGTTGAGAGAGGGATATGAGTAGTCTATGGTATCTCACAGCCATGCATTCTCTCATTATTGTTTTTCATGGTGATCTGTGCATGTGACAGGTCAGAGCTATGTGTCCTCCTTTACTGAGGGAGCCTGATCCATGCGGAGCTAAGGGCGGCCAGTCCACAAATATCTGTTGAGTGGAAAAAATTATTTGTATTTATATTTTTCTTTGTCAAATTGTTTTGCTCCTTGTTTTTCTAGATTATGTATGAAAGAAAATATTAGCTAGGAAACAGACCTAATGTTTTATTTCCTGATCTAGGGTTTAAAGATCACATAACACCTAATTTTTGGAGAAACACTTATGTCAAAATTAATTTCTTATATTCCCTTAATACTATATTGAATTGAATCTCATGTCTTTGGCCATGCAACTCTGGGCCAAGTGAGGCAAGGTGAAGAATCTTGTCCTGGAGATGCCTAGAAATATATTTGGCATGAGACTTTCAGTTAGGCTCTATGTGACCTCAAGAGAGTGATGTGGAGGGAACACTTCCTAAGAGAGTTATTAAGTACTCCTCTCCCATGAAAGGCTATCGTTCGTGTTGGAATTGACAGGGAGAACCTTAAGGAATCTGCCAAAATCCTCTCCAAAAGAAAGTGATAATTTGAACATCTAAGCACGCAGACTACCCTCATGTGAGACAAGTTTTTCTCCTTCCTTTACACAAACTCCCACTCCACTCCACCTTCAGTTCTCTTTCCTGGAGGAACCACAAGTTTCATGGGAGGTGAGAGAAGGTAGGAGACCTGAGGCAGAAGGGAAATGGGCCATTGCATGGCCTGAACAATTTAATACTCAAAATAGACATGAAAAAATAATTCTGGGAAATTTATTTGAAACGTTAACAGTGAGATTAAATAAGGTTGTTTTTTGCATAAACTTGATGATTTCTAAGTTATTCTACAAACCAGTTATAAAGCCACATATAACTATGGCCCTATACTCACGTTTGGTCAAATGTTTAATAAATAGCTATTGAAAATATACTTGTTTAAATAAATTTGGTAATGTCAAGAAACATACTATATTATTATCTACTCAAGAAAATTCTCAAGAAAGGCCTTGTGAACAGTTTTGCTGACTCTTCTCTGAAACACTCAAAGAAATGGGTTATCCCGAAGTGGTTGGGGGTACAATCCATTGAAATTCCAATCGACCCTAAGTCTGCAGCCATGTGGCGTTCATTCTGGAAGACAAATCTGCAGTAAGTTTATATTAATGTAAGATAAACATGGTATGTTTCCAAGACTGTACATCTAAACAGCCTGTAGTTTGGAACATTTTAAGGTGTGAAGAGGGAAAGTACCTCCTTATTTCTAAAAATCCAAGACAGACACCTTAAGTTTTTATGGTTGCTCAAATAAAGGATATATTGCTAGAGCTGAGTATGCCAAATATACCACGTCTTTAATGCAAAGTAAGGTAAACCAAACCCTCCATTTCAGTAAATCCTCCTTTCTCAGAAGCACCCCCCACTTCATTTCCTTCTTATAAGCTGCCAGGTATTGTAAATGAAGTGTGATAAAATGAGGGTCTGAAGGCCACTTTCAGACTTCCCTCTTATCCTGGAAAGAATGGGTAGAATTTGTAGGTCCTTGGCACTTATATTCTCAAATTTGAGACATCATCCAAAAGAGATCACTTTTAATATCCTATTTTATATCTACATAAACACATTTACAAGTCAAATAGTATGTATTTAGTTTGTGTTTATTATTATTATTATTATTATTATTATTATTATTCAGGAAATAACTATCTCTCTCTGTGTCACACATATACACTGGATCATTAAGTCTTTGTTCTCAGGGTCTCTGTTTTCAAATTGAGACCAAGTAATAGGACAGATATTCCATGAATAGGGATAAGAGGACACGTTCTAACATACATTTTCTTTCTTTATTTCTTTATATAGGGAACATAGAAAAAAAGAACGGTAAGTGATATTTATATTTGACTGAAGCAGTGTTTGAATATCCCATATCAATATTCCAATATTGATGTTCTTTCATTATTATTAAAGAACAAATTCCAGGCACCCCATGTGTGACCTAAAAGTTTTTGAAACAAGTAAAGTATCTTCCTGCTACTTTAAAAAGTGAACATAACTATTCATAAGACAAAGTTTTAGGCATAAATACAGAAGAACAAGATGAATCCATGTGTGCCATTAGCGCTGGAACTCAGGTCTTAAGTTCAGTGCCATTCAGTGAGGTCATTTGTCTTTTGTATATATAGTAATTAACTGAATATTTTACAGTCAGTGCTTAAGAAACAGTGAGACAAAAGGACTATCTTTCTTTATGGAAGTTGCTATAAGAATGATACAAATTCCACATTTAAATAATAAATAAAAAACAAATATTCTAATATTTGTTATGGAGGAGGGTTAATGATGCCATGGATAGTACAACAGTTGGACTGGGCTTAGACATGAGGTTCTAGATTTGCTAAAGAAGGTCAATGCAGAAGAGGCTGGAGATATTGAAAAGGACAGGTAGGTCAAAGAGAGAACTACCACGTGTAAAGCAGAAAGCACAACATGCACTAAACTCTGAGGGGAGGTGAGCCTGTGGTTCTATTAGAAGAGACAATATTAGCCAGGTGCCTCTGGTTCCGAAAACCTAGACAAGGCTATACGTAGGCAAAGGCTGGTAAATGCAACATCCTTACCATTCTAAGAATTTTGAATCCTCTCTAAGAAACAGAATTTTGAATATTATCCAAGAAAATAAGGAAATCATATAAATTCTAAAAAGGGGTACAGTGACAAGATTTTCAATTCAAAAATGTTATTTCCTTGAAGGTAGAGAACA